CCAGGAACCGGGTCTGGGTCGGTACCTGGAACCCTGTCTGGGTCGGTACCAGGAACCGGGTCTGGGTCGGTACTTGGAACCCTGTCTGGGTCGGTACCAGGAAGCGGGTCGGTACCTGGGCTGAAGCGGACGTCAGAGATGGCGTCTCGGCGGTGGTGGAAGCTCAGCAGATCCTCCAGCGTGTCGGCGTTCACCACCAGGACGGCGCCGTCGCTCAGCCCCACCGCCAGCGCTTTGCCCTCAGGGGAGAAGGAGCAGCAGTGGCCGCCTGCGGCAGAACCACAGCAGGTTGGACCCACAGCGTGGTTCTGGTCCAGAAACAGCCTGGAACCAAAAGAACCTCTGGTTCTGGTTCTGACCTCTCTTCAGCTTGCGGACCGCCACCATGCGGTGGTTGGCCGACGTCTCCCACAGTCGGAGCGTTTTGTCGTCGCTGACAGTGACGCAGACAGGAAGCAGCGGATGGGCGGCCAGACCCCAGACCTCCCCCTCCATGTGACCCTGTACACCCAAAACACTCGTCTGGACACAACCTGACCAATTATCACAAACACTCACCTGGACACAACCTGACCAATTATCACAAACACTCACCTGGACACAACCTGACCAATTATCACAAACACTCACCTGGACACAACCTGACCAATTGCAACAAACACTCACCTGGACACAACCTGACCAATTATCACNCACACACACACACACACACACACACACACACAGGCACTTCATGCTTTTGTGAAACATGAAGCCTCTCAATGGTATTTAAGTGGTTGGACTGATATCGTATTGTTCTTCTGCACCGTAAACTAGAAGCTTTTAGTCTTTTAAGGAGAATCTGGTTTCAGTGGTGGAAGAGAAAAACTAACCAAACAGGGAGAGAAAGAAACAAGCAGCAAAGGAGCAGAAGATAAATCCTGAGGAGAAAATGAAGAAGCTTAGAGGCTCAGACTGGTGGATAAAACTATCAAGACTGAAATGAGCAGGAAAATATTTTATCACTTTTATTGTAGAAAAAAAGGGAAAAGGGAGATTTTTTCCCTTTTTGAAATATATTTGTGAAAAATATATGAGGAAGGTCAGAGGATGGATTTGACCTTTAAGGAACCGATGATGAACTGAAGGCAGCTTTCAGAGTTTAAGGAGAAAACAGTCACAGATCATGCAGAGGATATAAACAGAGATGTGTTGATTCCCATGGATCCAACTCAGCAGGAACAGGAAGAGGAGCAGCTGAAGTTTAGCTCCAGTTCAGTTCAGGCTTCAGGAAAACTGAAGAAAGGGACTAAAACTCAAACGCTGCAGTTTAAAGGTCAGACTCTCTCCAGCCATCTGGCGGTGCAGTACCATCTTTAGACACCAGGGGGAGCCTGGTTTTAGACTCACAGGAAGGTAAACATTCCTCTATTGGACAGTTTAAATGAGTAATTAATGAATTTCTCTCATTTGTGTCTGGAATCCGGCCAGATTGTCACTTTATGGACTGTTTTCCTGCTGAGTCAGAGGAACCAGTCATCTCCTCCTGGGCAGTAAAGTCATCAGCGGTTTTCATGAGCTCTGAATCAAAGCCGTACCGTCTGGAGGATTCAGACTGTCCATGAATCAGAGCGGCCATGTTTACGGCTCCTACCTCTCCTCAGCTGAAAGCTCCTTCAGTTGCTGGTGAGGTTTGGTTCCTCTCATCTCTCTGATGCTCACTGCAAACATCTTCGTCACGTAATCCACCGTCTTCTCTCTGGCAACGTCACTGTCGTAACCTGCAGCACAGGAAATGACATCAGAAACCAGGAAGCAGGAGGCTGAACTGGTGGAGTCATCTCTGAGTTTGCCTGGAACCAGACAGAGGAACCAGAGGAACCAGAGGAACCAGACAGGGGAACCAGACAGGGGAACCAGACAGGGGAACCAGAGGAACCAGACAGAGGAACCAGAGGAACCAGACAGAGGAACCAGACAGGGGAACCAGACAGGGGAACCAGAGGAATCAGAGGAA